AGCCCCTAAATTAATAAGATTTGGGGAATTATAGCCTCCCCCAGATTGAAATCACCCTCACCCTAAAAATATTATGTCCACCGTTTAGTCTCCTGCCAAGATTACCAAAGCAATGTTTTTTGAACAGAGATACTAATCTGCCATAACTCTGGTGGGTCATTCATCTAGACTCCCTAACATTTCCACTGCCTTTTATGCAATGTTGAGAAGGGAAAGAAGTCCAACTTCAGATTTCTGACAATCTGAAGGAAACAGACAACAAACACAGAGGAAATAGTTTACATCAATGAAATGGATAAAAGTCAGAGAACAAAAAGAACTTGTCGGGAGCCTGAGAGGGTGTGAGATAAAGACAATAGTCTGAGCAGTGAGTTTCATTGCTCTTTCTCAGAAAAGACAACCAGACTGGGCCTCAGTTTCCCATTTATAAAATGGGAAGACCATTCCCTGCCATGCCTTATTTGGTATTGCAGAGAGAAAAGCCCATTTGAGATGTCAAAGACCTTGGCATGTTAAAAGGAAGTGTCTGTAAAGATCTATAAACTGAAAGGTTATCCAACCAAGGAGATGAAAAAATGAGGACTCTTCACCCCTAGATCATTTTCCAGAAGCACTTGATGAGTAAATGGGGCCACAGCCATCTGTAACATGCCACCAGACTGTGCTTTTGGTTGCCAACACTCCTCTTGCTTTGAGATGATAATCCATTTTCTTACCACCAAATGAACCAGGACTTGAACACTACCAGCGCTAGGTGATTCCAAGCCCTCCAACATCACCTCCCACCAGCCTCCATCAGGGCTCACAAGTAGCAGGTGCAAACTGCTCCTGGAGGCAGGGACTAGCCACATGCCCAGATGGAGGTGAAGAGACAAAACTGAGGAATGGCTTAAAGCCAGGGAAGCCTGAAGCACCATCTCAACCTGCAGGTTTGAGTTGCAGCCCCAGTGAGGCCTGGAGTCCCACTGAAGTGTCTTGAAGAGGGGGATGGGAGGAGGCCAGGACTGGTTTTGAGTCTTCCACCCCTGCCCCAACCACAGAAGCTCTGATGTTATTGGTCTTAAATACTGGGGACCCATATATGCTTTTGTTTGCAAAAGGGTTCCATGGCTCTAAAAATGTTTATGAAACATCTATCTGCGTGAATAAATTTTATAGATACAAAAAGCAGAACCTAGAGAGGAAAAATTAATTGTATTTAAGACCTTTTTAGAACCAGACATTAAATCCAACAGAAGAATTCTACTAGGAAAAGTGCTCAAGCTGTTGACTCCCAACTAATGCAACGTGCACGAAAATCCCATCTATCCTCATGTCCTTGCTATTTCTTTCTTCAGCTTTCCCCATTCCCTCAGTTCCTAAGCATTTCTAGAAGAGGTAGAGATGGTGCTATTGAGGAAAATGTTCCCTGTGTATCCTCTTTCTAGGGCATGGCAGGCCTTTCTCTCAGCTCTGTTTTGTGCATCTCCGCTTAGCAATCTGTGCTGCCGGTAGATGTAGATCATGAACACCTTGAGGACAGGGACCAAGTCTAATTCCATTAATCTGTGTGCTCCATGTTAAACACAACACCAATAAGTCAGAAGGAGTGCAACAGTTACCTGTATGAATGAATGAATGAAGACACTTCTGAGCAGACATAATCCCCTGGCTTCTCTTCTCTAAGTAAGCCAACATCTTCAACAGTTTTTTTCCTGAATGAATGAATGAATGAATGAATGAAGACACTTCTGCGCAGACATAATCCCCTGGCTTCTCTTCTCTAAGTAAGCCAACATCTTCAACAGTTTTTTTCCTCTAGGTCACAGAGGGCTAATGCTGTAAGTTCTCTCTGAGGGGAAAGCTGGGCAGATGTACTTGCGAACATTTTAAAAACTAGGTTGGCATTGGAGAGGAAACAGGCAACATATTTAGCCACCCATGGCATGCCAAGGCCTTATTGAGACAGAAATAGGCACTGTAGGAGGAATCCCAATTAAATATTTTTCTAAGCAGTCAGTTCTAGGCTTTGCCTGAACATGGATACAGAGCTGGGGTGAAGCACAGGACAGAAACCAAGAGGATTTTGAGCTGGGCTTCTGAATTTTCTTGGGACTTAGCTGCTTGCAATGCAAAGCTGGTGGCCCCAGGGGGCAGGGGTGCTGACTACCCTGCATGGTCCAAGGAGCAGGACACCACCTTGCTGGCACTTTCCAGACCCCCTACATTTAAGACCCTCTTCTCCATACCTACTCTCACATGGCACTCTATACCTAAATATTCTTCCTACAAGCTCACCCGACCTTTCCCATTAGTCAACACACCCTAGGATCTTGCCTCATCCAGAAAGTGTTCCAGGAATGACTTGAGGGAAAACAATGACATTTTGGGCATGAAATTCCACCATGCCTCCTGCTTATCTTTCCTTTGTTGAAATATGCAGCA